CATTTTACTGACCTCGGAAGGATGGAAGGCTGACTTTACCTTGAGCTGGTCAGGATCAAACTCCTGGCTATGGCCAGAATTAGCCTGCAATGCTGCATTCTAATCCCTGTACCACTGTGTCTTTTAGGTGTCTGCTGTTCTATTATTTATCTGAAAAATAAATTTAAAACAAAGATTTTTAATAATCTTTATTTTCAGAAACAGTAACATGAAAGAATAATGATGGTGCAGAACTACGTTATATAGGACCAGCTCAGATGCATCATTGAGCACAAGCCTATAAAGCCTATCGTTCCTGTTCAAGAGCATCTTCAAACAGGAGGTTTTCACTGAATCACAGATTCTTCCTTATACCAAAATTGCAGGGAACTTGGGTTGTTCAAACTTCAATCGGTGCTTTGTTTACTATCCACAGTTTAAACTAAGCTCATATGAAGACATGAGAAGGAAGACTCAATCAGTTTAAAGATAGCAGCCAAAGTTTTCAGCTTCTTGCAGTCATGCTAGTGAAGGTAGGAAGGTTCAAGGATTCAGCACATAATGTTCAAACACTGACCAAAAAAGATGCACAGATATAGAAAAGAGAACAACAACAACAACAAAAAAGTTCACCTTCAGTTGTACGGGATCCATACTCTCCGTTGAAACTGCTCTGTTATTCTATTTGGACTATTTTTATCCAACTTTTCAGGAATCATCAAAGCGCTAGACAGCAACAACAAAAATATCCTAATTGCAACATAAACAACAGTACGTCAGCAGTTAAAAAGACTCAAAATTTGAAATCTATATACCTTAACAGATTTAACGAAGCAGAGGGTATTGATCATAACTTCAGAAGGAATATCTTTCATAGTTTAGGAGTAACCCCCGAGAATGCTTCAACTAAACTATAGTGTGATAGAAATTGTACACTTTTCTGTATTCAAAATCCCTACATTTCTTCGCCATTTCCCCTGTACTTTGTTTAGAAGAACTGATATAAAGAAACTGTACACTGTTTTGGCAATCTTCCTGCTTTCATAATTACTATTGTATGTCATGTTCTATTTAATCTGAATTGGGCCTCTGCCTGCTGAGCTTTTGTTTTACCTCACCTCAGGCTATGGTCCTGTGTACACTTGCCTGACAATAAGCCCTACTGAACACAGCATGACTTATTTGTCAGGAAACCTGCATAGGAGTGGGCTGCAGATCCTGCATGCTCTGGCTGGCATGAGGTCATTGATTTGTGCTTGCTGTAGTTCTCTTAAAAGAGAAAGGTAAAGAAGCCCTTGAGCCCAGCTGAACTCCTGGGGTGACATGAACATGCCCCTGCAGCTTTCTTGGCAATAATCTGGAGGTGGTTTGTCACTGCTGCTTTTCGAGATGATGATCAGCTTCCTAGCCTAGCCTATAGGGGGATTCCCATCTAGGTCCTAAACAGGCCTGATCCTGTTAAGCTTCTGAGCAGTTAAGGCAGCATCCTTTCCTAGCGACTAGCTCTTTTTCCCAGAAGAACTCCTAGATTTCCCTAAGGAGAGTCAGCATAGCGTACAGTAGAGGTTGAAGTGCCAGGTTAGGACTTGGGCGACCAAAGTTAAAGTTGACCTTCAGCTACAGAACCTCATTTTAGTGATTCAGGTCGGTGACCATTTTTCACTGGGCTGTGGGGATAAAAAAAAAAAGAGTGCTATATACTGCTTTGAACTCCAACAGCTCCTTGGTTTATAAATCACAACAACAAAAACAAAGATGTGCTTTGTTGAAATTCATGCTGGAAATAAACTATTAGTTACTTGGAGGAGAAAAAAATATGTTGCAAACCACTTGGCATGCTATTTTTGCAAATCAAAAATTCTTCAAAGAGGAAGTGGCATGATACCCCTTTCACAAAATTCCATCTTGCTTAATATTTCAGTTTGCAACCCTTGAATAAATTAGATGGAATCTTTTGGATATAGCTTGCATTGAAATCCTGGCTGTTTCCCCAGGTATGTGAGTCAGATGTGTAGATGGTGAGGGGAGTTGTTGTTCATCCCTGGGTCCCAGGAGCAGAGTGGAGATTAAGTGTGGTGAGTTCTTGTGTTTTAATCATGTAAACTGCTAATAATCATTTGAAACGGGCAGTTGTATAAATCATAAAAATAAGTAAATACAGATTTTACCTGCATTTTTGGAAGCATGCTATGAATTCCAATAGGCCAATCTTCTGGAGTATTAAGGACCTTAATACTCAGGATTAAGGTCCTTCAGCAAGAGACTCTAGGAGATTTCCTGAATTACACAGTAATCTTCCTAAAGCAAACCTGACTCAAGCTATATAAAAGTCTGTTCTGATGGGTTGGTACCCAGCTACCCAATTGTGGTGCCTTTGGAATAATCTTACATTCATATGCTAAACTCAGATAGATAGATAGATAGATAGATAGATAGATAGATAGATAGATAGATAGATAGATAGATAGATAGATAGATAGATAGATAGATAGATAGATAGATAGATTAGATAGATTAGATAGATAGATTAGATAGATAGATAGATAGATAGATAGATAGATAGATAGATAGATAGATAGATAGATAGATGTGTATGCATGCCTTATGACAGTCCAATACTGATATGTCTCCTCTTGTATGCCCTTCTCCTCATGTCTACACTGTATTACTAAATATAATCTGCCATGAGAATGTGGCTTACGCTAAATATTGGGGCAATTGTGTTGGCAGAATACTGTCTCATAGTTGGATGTGTTTTCTCTTTCCACAAGTAAGCAGTCTAGCTACACTTCACTGACATGACCAGCCAAGAAATCTACATTTGTATGTATTGAGTGAAATGTATGTACTGAGAATCCAGACTTGTTTTCCTTTTAACAAGCCAGACTAAATCATGGTCATGTTTCACTTTAGGACCTGACCAGGGATCTTCACTGTCACATCACACTAAAACCACAAAAATAATTTGTGAAGCAACTTCTGCTGGCAAGAGGAATAAAGTGGGAATGATCAAACTTGATCACAACAAACTTAGATTCTCAGAATCCTGACATGGTGTGATATGTGTAAATGGTGTAAATGTGTCCAATGGCCTTCAAAATAAATGATTTGAGTAAGATTTTGATGTCTACAACTTGGAGGTGTTTAAAAATATGATGCCAATATTTTTCATGCTGTGTATTTTAAGCCCTGCTTCCTTCCCCTTCCCCTTTCAGTTGTTGTTAATGGCCGGCCACATTTAAAACTGTGAATCTTGAAAGAGTATAATGCAAAGAATAATTCCTGGAATGGCAGGGAAAGGCGGATGCTTTTTGCATCCAGAGCTCTTAATAGATACAACATTGTTTTGTTTGGCTGCAGGCTATTTCCTTTGTTATGTCAGTGTTCCTCTGAGCTAGGGTGTGTTAGGCCCCTTTGGCTGTGGAGAGTTGTTTTTTACAACTCTGTTTTTGTGCTTGAATAATAGCAGTGTTAAGAGCGTATAATACTGTAAGTCTTTCTTTTTAAAAAAATTGAAGGACAGCAAAAAACGGGATTGTGACTTTTCAATACTACTGGGACAGACTCTAACCAAAGGAGAAAAGAGACTTGGTTATTTTTATTAGGAGCCACAGTAGGTCTTTTCTTGTTGACTGATCCTATTCTTAGTTTGCCCTCTTTGCCTTGTACTCATGCCTATGTATTTGAAAGCCGGTGTGGCTTTTGTCCCTTCCACTGTGCCAGGTGTTTTGCTCACCTCTTTTCAAAAGGATGCAACAGGGTATAGAAGCTTCTCAAGTTTGCAGTGCTTAATAGTCACCCTCCACAATTAGTTCTTCATGGAATTGCAGGAAAACAAAAATAAGTGCCTTATCAGGATTTGCCCTAGACTCAGAAGCATATATTTGTACTGAATGAAAAAAGAGCACTTTCAAACCTAGTGTCATGGTTCCGACAGATGAAACTCTTCAAAAGAACTTCGAGGCATTGTTTACCTTAAAGAATTTTTTATTCGAGAAACAAAGTATCGGCACTACATAGCTGAAACCAAAAACTAAATTCCCCTCCCCTGGACACAAAGTAACAAAGCACAATTCCCTCCTCCAATAACAGTCATAAATCACATTCCCCAATTAGCTTGAAGCCGGGCTTTCTCCCCAGCTCGCCAAAACTCTATCAACTCTGGGCCCAATGACCTTGGGTTCCCACGGCTGAGTTATTATTGTTATGACTAGCTGGACTCTCATCCATATTCCCCCCTACCAACATCAACTAACTCTAAAAGCAATAGAGGAAAATGGCTGCAATTCCATCTGTTGTCAAGGAAGAACATCTGATGTTAGCAGCGTTGACACCGAGCACATAATTTGGATCTATGTATGCCCATGCCCAATCAGTTTCAAAATGATTGTGCATCAAGGTAGATTGTTATGGTTTCAGTGATAATTGCCTCTTCTTGGAAATGATGGGTTTATCCATACTGTGAAGCTGCTCCATCACCAGTATGAACCAGCAACCATTTTTGGAGGGTAGGAATGTATGACACAACATCTGTACACATCCACGCCCACTCTACTGGGAATAGTCTGCAGGCCAGGGAAGTGCTTCCTCAACATGCTAATGGGAAAAATGCTTTATATGGAAGCAGCAGCAGACTTTGCAAATACATGCATGTTGATGCTTTAAATACAAAGTTGCTTTAAATTTCATTTATATTTGTATACATGGGGTTTTTTTTTCATTTTTGCCTGGGTGACACACAAATTACTACTCAGGAAGATCCACCCAGAGGAAGGAAGGTGGTTGGCAAATGCTTTCCTGGAAAAGAAAGATGGGAAAGCCCAGCAACAAGGGAATTGTCCAATAGGAGGATGTGGTATCTGCAATTTGGACTGAATACCTTGCAAACTGTTGCCAAAAAATCTCAGTCCAAACAGGGTTTTCTTAAGGTGGCTTAGAGTCAAGCAACTATGAACACAAGAGAGGAGCAGGTACAATGTTTTAAAAGATTGTGTTAGATTTGTTCTGTTTTGCTCCTACAGCAGTTTCCAGTGGAGTAAAGAAGATCTTTGGACATATCAGGTTGTCACTGGTCAGTATCCAAGTGATATGCAAAGTAGAAGAACACTGTATTTGGATATGCTTCAGAAACTTCTACCTCACAAATCTAGACAAAGTCTTGTAAGTTGCAGAACTTCTCTTTTTTTATTCAATTATTGGGATGAGAATTCAGTTTTAAAAGTTGTTAATAGGATTGCTGAATACAAGACTTCACTCAGCACTGCACACATGGAATTGCACTTGGACTTTTCATTTTTCCTCTACCTTTGATCTCTGTCATTTTTCAAATGTGTTCCAGATAATTCCGTTCCTCCAAAAATAGTACAAAACATTCACATGTTTGTATTTAAAAAAAGAGCATAGTGCAACACAATTTACGTAAGTCAGTGTTGTTAAACTGGTTATGATATTCACCGAAATACTGTGCTATAATGTGTATGTGAATGGATTATGTGTTTGTAAGCAAGGTGCTCTGTGTTCAGACCTCCAAGTTCTCAAATCCATGCCTGCAATCTTTTAAATCCAACTAAGCTTAATATCTGCCTCTAAATCCATCATCAATAGTTATAGCTGTTCCTAAAGGTCGTGGACTGCCTGGAATAAGATTCAACAGGATATGACAGAATGCTGCCAAATCTGAAAATTGGCAGAAGTTGACACACACTCTGTATCTTACATGTAGGAGCACTTCCTGTTTATGTATAGATTGCTTCTCACTTTTTAATACATTCATTTATTTGCGTATGTACTAGCCCAACTCACCCTACAGGGTTGTTGTCCTGGGGAAAATAGAAGGGGGAAGGAATATTAGGCATGTTTGCTTCCTTGAATTGGTTATAAAAATAATAAAGGTGGGATATAAGTGGAAATAATAAATAATCTTCCACACGTTTGGTGAAAGAGCCGTTTCTTATTGGGCTTTCCTAAAGTCTAACGTTGGGGTTGTTCCAATCTCTGGAAAGAAAATATTTTTCAAGGGTGGGGCCCTCAGAGACAGCCCTTGTCTTAAGACTCTCACATACCCATTTATTTAGGAAAAACAACTTTTTGAGACACTCTCCTACTGGGTAGAATGGCATGGAAACCTACGGCCCTCGAGGTATTGCTCTCAGGAGTCCCAGCCAACATGGCTAATAAAGGGAATTGAAAGGGCCACACTAGGGCCACAAGTTCCACACTTCTGCTCCGAATTCTGCTTGGAACTGTATATGTAATGTATTGTCATTTAAATGTTCAGCAAATTCACTAATGTTAGCCGACAAGCACAATAGCCATTCAATATCTCAAATAAATGTGAGGTGAGATAATATGAAAACATACCTACGTGCCCACACTAACAGGCAGTATTCAAAAGTGCGTAGCCTTAGATTTATAACTCAGCTTCTTCTCTGAGTTCAAAGGAAAACACAACCACCTCCAATCATTTCTAAATAATGGAACTTTCGTTCACAGAACACTCCACATATCACAGTGAAATCCACGATAGTGCTCCAATTAGTTTTACAGCATTCATATTACATTCCCGCTGCATTTGGTATGAACTTTTTTTTTTAGTACACAAAAATGATATGTCTAACAAAATGTGTAATAAATGTGTTTTCGGGGAGAGGCAATTGAATAGAACCGTGTGAGAGATGACTTGGGAAAAAGACTAGCTTTAAATCTTCCTGCTTTCTCAGCAGCAAATGCTTTTTATTCTTTCCTTTGGCCTCCTGTCAATTTGTTAGAAATATTTCTGGGTTGTTGATTTAGTTACGTTAACCCTTATAAATGCCTTGCAACGAAGCTCTTGTTTGTTTCTGAGAAGGGCATGATTCTCTCATGCTTTTATTAGCTGGCCCGCTCTTGGCTTCAAATAAGGTCATTTTTAACATCCAATTAAAGCAACCTTTAGCAGTTAGGGTTTAGAAGATCATTCTGCCTACTTCCAAAATAACCCCCGTTTCCTTTGTTTCTCCAATCCACCCCCTCCCAAACCCCAGGTTGCTCATGAAAAGTCTTGGGACCACTATTACTTTACCAGGAGCCAATTGAGAGTGTTGATGTTCAATTGGGTCCAAGCTAAGAAGACATTCTTAGTGAAGGCGGTGATGACTCTCACAGAAGCGTGTGCTGCTTATGAGACTGAAATGATGGTGGCTAATAATAGAAGAAAACAGCAGGAGATATGTGCTAATCTGAAAGAAAAGGTAGGCTCAATTGCACAACCCTCTATTAAATTATTGCTGCTTTGCATATCTTTTTTTTTTTTACAAAATTTTATGTATAATACAATTAAAAAAACATTGGATATAACGTGACATTCCAGTATATACATTGTTATCAAATTATTCCACATTTTACAGTTGGTTCTTCATCTCTGAATATACATCTAAGTTTTATATACAGTACTTATTCTAAAATAACATATATTTCTATCTTAACGCTAGTCTTTAATCCCAACCGTCCTCCTCGAATCTCTCCAGTGGTAAAATTTATCCCAGGTTTCGAAGTAAACTGATCCACATTTGTCTTTGCATATCTTGTCTTGTTCAGTGTTGACTTAAAGGGGGAAAATGTATACCACCGGTAGGTATACATAGGCTTCCACCTTATCCTGCAATAAAGGCACTCATTATTAAGTCATCTTTTCAGGATGACACTGTTGAATTACATGCCCCCAAATGGTTTGGGGAAGTCTTGTTTCATTTTGCTACAAAAATGTGAGCAATTTCTTTTTAATTTATGTGCTCTTGAGGCTTTATATTAAAGGGCCATTTTTATTTTATTTTGACATGTCTATATTGTATGTGTAAATATGTTTTGCTTGGGTGAGGAAAGAGAGAGTTTTAATTAATCCTATCCTGATGCATTTTGGGATAACAACTAATTGACTGTGACTTATCTTTCCCCAGTAGCAGTAAAAGCATGCTGGAATAATATAGCTAAAATAGAAAAAAAATCCATCTATCTGTTCTGTAAACGTTGCCCACAGATCCATATAATTGGGGGATGGAAGAAAAGGAGGGGCCCTCAGTGAAATTATCACATTCTTTCAGTGTAAAGATGCTGGACAGAAATCTTAATGTGAAAAAACTAACCTGAAAGTTTGGAAAAGGAAACCAGTTGTTGTCAAATGATCAGTGAAAATTGACCAGTAATCGACATGTTTTATTTTGCCAACATTCCTGGAAGTTTTGCTCTTGATTCTCCGTGGCCTCTGGTTCTGTGTGCTGTAATATAATTGAAACATGATATTGATGTAATATGATTGATACATGGTACTTATGCAGGCTATACTATATATGTTGTGTTTGCAAAATGCACTGAACCATAAACTTGAAATATATTTGGCATTAATGCGTTGTGCAAACTTGAGAGGTAAATACATGGTTCGGTTTACCATGGGGAAGCATGTGATATGAGCACAACTCACGAACATCAGCATTATTCTGTGCCTGTTACCGTACTCTTCTTGCAATAAAATCAAACCTTAGTAGCAGTACTTCAAATCTGATGATCCCTCTGTTGAGCTAAAGAATTGTTGTCTTTAGGACAACGCTCATTCACCTGGAGTACGGAGTGATCCGTCTTAGTTTTGTTGTTTGGTGTGCTTTTATAATGTAAGCAAAAATGATTATTTATTTTTTTTTATTAATTTTTTTTTCATCAACATATGTTAATTTTTCCAATCAACAAGTTGTCTGGAGTTGCTATGCTAATACATGTTCAATTCCTAATCCTTCATTCTTTTCTCTAACCAAGAATAAAATAAATTCCAAATTTGATAGTAGTCTGCATCTTCTTTATCTTTCAACCTCATAGTTAATCTGTCCATCTCTGCACATTCCAATGTTTTCCTGATTATTTCTTCCTCCGATGGCAGTCCTTCATTCTTCCAGTATTGTGCAAAAATTATTCTCGCTGCTGTAGTGATGTGTAAAATTAAATATAATTTCTGCTTATTAGTCTTTTCAGGCATAACGCCTAGTAAAAAAAGTTCAGGTTTAAAATCCACTTGTTCGCCCAATATTTTTTCTAACCACATATGTATATTTTTCCAATAGGCCTTTGTCTTACCACATGTCCACCAAATGTGGTAGTACGTGCCTATGTTATGTTTACATTTCCAACATCTATCTGACATATTTTTAAACATTTTTGCTAACCTTGCTGGTGGAAGGTGCCATCTATAAAACATTTTATACAGATTTTCTTTGTATGAAGTTGACATTGTTAATTTATAGTTTCTCTCCCATAACATTTGCCATTTTTCTAATTCTATATTATAACCAAAAAAATTTGCCCATCTTATCATTGTTTCTTTCACTTGTTCACTTTCCATAGGAAAAATGATTATTTGATGACCAGCAGCAATATCATTTTCAGGAGCTCCCTTGACCTTCAGCCATGCCTAATTCAGGTATCCTCAGGCTATGATGGCAATTAGGACCAGAATTTCCATCCCTAAGTGATGTAGTTGTAAACTGTGATGTTGCATGACCACATCACGTAGTGACGGCAATTCTGGCAGTTTTGGTTGTTGTCAGAACCCAGGACCTTGTAGGTCATTAGGCAGGAAGAGGTGGAAATCACAGATTGGCAAGTGCGTGGGTTCTATGGAGGGGGTGCCACAAACAGGCACTACTGAGCAAAAAAGACAGCCACGTCTGCCTTCCTGCTAACTTCCCCATTGAAGTTGCTTGGGGGAAGCCAGCAGGAACATTGGAAATCACAATCATATGACCATGGCTCGCTACAATGTAATAATCACGAGCTGGTTTACCAAGTGTGAAAAATCACAGCTATGTGACTATGGGGATGCCGTAATGGCCGCAACTTTGCAGATTGGTTGTAAATCCTCCTTGTTCAGCACCGTTGTGACTTCGAATGGTTACTGAACAAGTGGTCAAACTTCCTTGTTGGGAAGTTCTTAATCTCTAAGGTTCCCCTGACATTATACAACATAATTTCTTTGTATGCAGAGGGCTTCATTCCTACCATTAAGTGGAGCTAGAGTTTCTTAATCTACTACACAAAATCCCCTAACTGGGGAAATCAGACATGTTCTTAGATGATGGGCATGAAACAGAAACTAATTTAAGTTATTATTATATCCCTCTGTCAGCCCATTTCCACTGCTTTTTCCCCCTTATGCATATCAAAAATGCACCAGTGTTAAGAAGATAAGAAGAAGGTAGTGAGCAAGTTTGTGTGTTAAGCCGCTTCAGAAAGTCTGAAATATACATGCACATGCACACGCATATCCACACCCACACACAAATCACTGCAATGCACACGCATATCCACACCCACACACAAATCACTGCAGTGCAAAGTTCCATAAAAATCATGTGTGAAACAGTGTGAAGGCTAAAAGACCCTGTATGAAATTACCCTCACTAAGAATACACTTTCCCCCCTGCAAAGAGGCAGGAAAAAAGAGAAATCTGATTTTCCAATTTGAAGACTGCATCAACATTTTTCCCCCTGCACAGTTATATATTCTGTATTTTCACCTAGAGTTGTATTGTTAAATTTGTTGGGTACAAAGCATGCTGGTTGGGGAATGCTGGGAGCTGAAGTCCAAAAGTCTTAACGTTGCCAAGATTGGACACCCCTGGTGTAGCCATATTAATGAAGAAGTGACTTCATCCTTTTCCAAAAGGATTATGTGAATCTATTCATTTTCAGAAATCTTTCTGGGAAAGTGAACAGTATTTGCTACAGAATATCTTCTGTGCCATCCACCCTTTCCCCAAGAACATTTGCTTGGAATCATTGGTGTCTGCAGAGGGTGGTCAAAAAAAGCCAGACATGGGAGCAGCTTTGCAATGCAAGCTCCACCTCTTTTGTACATGCGTGTGATAAGTTGTTTTTGGCTGCAACCCATGTGCACACTGGGAACAAACTATGGAAAGCAAAGGCTCTTACATCTGAGCAGAGCTATATTAAATTGTACCGTTGGTAATATTTCTGCTCAGCAATCAATTTTTTTTTACTCAGTAGTTGTCAAGACACTTGAATGGTATCTTCCAAGTGATCTCAGTATTTATAAAAAGCATTTGAATTTAAGCAGGCCAGTTCTTTCTTGCTAGAAGTATTCCTCGATCTATAACTATTCTTTTCATTATCATTCAAAGTTACAGCAGCACAGAAAAAAGTGACTTATGACCATTTTTCACACTTACAACTATTACAGCATGGTTGGATCTATGTGCTAGTGAATATTTCTCTGAAGAGAAGGGGTAGTTCTGAAAGAGATGTTCCTATATATGAGGAGCTGCCACAAAGAAGAGGGGTGTCAACCTATTTCCCAAAGCACCAGAGGACAGGACAAGAAACAATGGTTGAAACTGATTAAAGAGAGAAGCAACCTGGAATTAAGGAGAAACTTCCTAACAGTGAGGACAATTAACCAGTGGAATAGCTCGCCTCCAAAAATTGTGGGCACTCCATTACTTTAAGAAGAGACTGGACAGCCACTTGGCTGAGATGGTATAGGTTCTCCTGCTTGAGTGGGTGGCTGGACTAGAAGACCTCCAAGATCCCTTCCAGCTTCTATTCTATTCTATTCTGTTCTGTTCTGTTCTGTTCTGTTCTATTGTGCAAATTAATATCTTTCTCTACACCAGGCAATTTTAAATGGGCTATTTTGGGTATTTTTGTATGGCACAGTTTAGCTTTCAAAGTTATAGACACTTGACTACTCATGTTCAGTGCCACTAGAAATTATGGTAATTTGTAAAATAAAAGGCAAACAGAAGTAGATGAATAGCTCAAAGGTCTTTTTAATAATAAAAACAATAATATCCAAGAATTTCTAAGAAGGTATAGGATATTTAAAAAGTACCAGTTTAAGAAAACAAAAATTTAATTGCTTTTAATTTAAAATAATTACAGGTAGTCCTTGTTTAATGACTGGTCACTTGGTGACCATTTAGAGTTCTGATGGCTGAATCCCCCCTGCAGTCACATGATCGCATTTTGAGTACTTGGCAACCGGCTCACCTTTATAGATTGAAGCATTCCATAGTCACATAGCCATGATTTAGAATATATTTTGCGAATTTCTTATCCTTTTTGGCTGGTTTCTGGTAAAAAGTACCCTTAGAAATATGTTGATTTGCTTAATGATAGTGATGTTCACCTAATGATTGCCACAAAAAAAATCTAAAAATTGGATCCAGTCACATGGGTGCCTTGACTTAGGACTGTCACGACTTATGATGGAAATTCTAGGTTCCATTACAGTCATAAATCGAGGACTACCTGTATATATGCTGTGTGCATAAGTGTTAATAATATTTCCCCCCCAAGGAACTTTTCAGCAGAAATAGCAAGAATTTTAAAATAAAACTGAATTGCTCTATGAACAAATAGTGTAACATTTTCAGAATCTGAAGTTAAGTATATTGGGAGAGTCCATATGGTGCTCCTCTGGTTATATTGCAGTACTCTTACAAAACAACCATTTTTTACAATATGAAATATGATCACTTTCCCCCCCAATGCTAGGTAGGAAAACAAGTGAAAATTACATGCCCATATTATCAAATGTTTTCCCTTTTTGAGCTTCACCCATGCAGAACTTAACAACTGATTCGTGATAGATTGACTTCCTTTTGATCATTCTCAAAAAAAACCCCACCTTTCAATTTCTGGATTTATGTTTTCCTTGAAGTAGGACAGTACCAGTTTGTGGATTTATAATAAAAAGCAATTAACAACTTCCTCCCCTAGCCTGCATCTTTCTCCATAAATAATAGCAGCTGCTGCTTATCTTGGCTCTTAATTATGATAACTACAATTCCACCTTCTCTCTATTCAGATTGTATCTTCATAATCTCCCCTTCATTGTCCTCTCTTTCAACTGGCAAGCTAAGGATTTGTGAAAAGAAACCAGTCTTACTCTCATTACCTCATCAACTATTAAGACAGGGGCCTCCAGCCTGTTAGATCACATGGAGCTTAATTCCCTCTGATTTAAACAGTAAGACATAGGGCTTCCAATTTTCCCTAACTATGTCACAAAGACGTGCTGCTAAATCATTTCAAAATTTCATTGCTACTCTACAGAGTGTTGATCTGCAGTGTATTTATTAACTAAATGCAGATATGAAGAAAAAGAATGGACAAAATTATAAAAGGAGGAGGAAGAAAAGCTTTAAAAAGCTACTTCTTGAGTGTATTTTGTGAGTGCTGTTCCTTTGCTGCAATAGTTGATCCTAAAAGGCGAAAGTTATCTACCTTATCATCATTTTCTTTTTCATTTCTAAGGCCATTGGTTGTCATTAGTTTGGTCTTCTATAAACTACGGTAGTCCCAGTTTTGTCACTGTGCCCCTTGACTTTCATTACTAGAACTTGCAATAATTTTTAGCTATCAGTTATATAATAAAATTACATGCTTAAAAGGGGGAAAA